CAAACAGGATGAGACCCGAGGGGGGGAAGAAGAAGAGAAGGAGGAGGAGGAGACTGGATTTACACCCCGCCCTTCACTACCCGAAGGAGTCTCGGAGCGGCTTACAAACTCCTTTCCCTTCCCCTCCCCACAACAGACACCCTGTGAGGTAGAAGAAGAAGAGATTGGATTTATACCCCGCCCTTCACTACCCGAAGGAGTCTCGGAGCGGCTTACAAACTCCTTTCCCTTCCCCTCCCCACAACAGACACCCTGTGAGGTAGAAGAAGAAGAGATTGGATTTACACCCCTCCCTTCACTACCCAAAGGAGTCTCAGAGCGGCTTACAAACTCCTTTCCCCCTCCCCTCCCCACAACAGACACCCTGTGAGGTAAAAGAAGAGAGGAGATTGGATTTACACCCCTCCCTTCACTACCCAAAGGAGTCTCAGAGCGGCTTACAAACTCCTTTCCCTTCCCCTCCTCACAACAGACACCCTGTGAGGTAAAAGAAGAAGAGGAAGAGATTGGATTTATACCCTGCCCTTCACTACCCAAAGGAGTCTCAGAGCAGCTTACAAACTCCTTTCCCTTCCCCTCCCCACAACAGACACCCTGTGAGGTAAAAGAGGAAGAAGAAGAGATTGGATTTGTATCCCGCCCTTCACTACCCAAAGGAGTCTCAGAGCGGCTTACAAACTCCTTTCCCTTCCCCTCCGCACAACAGACACCCTGTGAGGTGGGTGGGGCTGAGAGAGCTCTTTCAAGGACTGCTCCTGAGAGAACAGCTCTGAGAGAACTTGTGACTGACCCATGGTCACCCAGCCAGCTGCATGTGGAGGCGGAGTGGGGAATCAAACCCGGTTCTCCCAGATTAGAGACCGTTCTCCTAACCACTACACCAAACTGGCTCTCATTCTGACTGCAAGAAATAAGGGTGTGCCGCAAGAAAAAAAATCATCCAATCAGAAAACCCCGCTGCTTCTATGAGGCTCCTGTAGGTTTCGGATCATCCGGTGGAGCCCCACTCGGGGTGCCTCCCTTAGCTGAACCAAAGCCTTATCGGGGGTGGCACCCTGCCTTTGGAAAGTCCTGCGGAGACCCACCCCACTGACTTCCTTGTGGCCTTTGGGGATCACATTTTTAAAGTTTCTGAGGGAGCGTGTCAGTGTGTTTGGTCCCCCCCGGCTGCTTACCCACGGATCGGGTCCACCGTGATGGCGCGAGGGTTGACGAGGTCGGTGGCGAAGAGAACGCGGCGCTCCGAGCCGTCCAGTCTGGCGCTCTCGATTTTGTCCAGGCCACTGTCCGTCCAAAACATGGTTTGTCGGAGGTGGTCGATGGTGAGGCCTTCAGGACTGATCAGCCCTGGGGAGGACAACCAAAGCACGCGCATCGTTACCGAGCGTGACCGTGTTGGTCTGTGGTTGGACCAGAATCTATTTCACTGAATCTAACGTCTTCACCCAAAGTTGGAATTCCCTGCTGGTGGAAGTGGTGGCAGCTACAAGAACAGGCAGCTTCAAGAGCAGATTGGATGAACATCTGGAGCAGAGGTCCATCAGGGGCTATCAGCCACAAGGTATAGATAGGAACTCTCAGTCTGGGGCAAGGGATGCTCTGTCTTCTTGGTGCTTGGGGGGGCAACAGTGGAAGGGCTTCTGGAGTCCTGGCCCCACTGCTGGACCTCCTGATGGCACCTGGTATTTTTGGCCACTGTGTGACACAGAGTGCTGGACTGGATGGGCCATTGGCCTGATCCAGCATTGGTTTCTCTTATGTTCTTAACTATTCCAAAGCAAGAACAGTCATTGCAAGGAAGACAGAAGAAGAGAAGAAGAGATTGGATATATACCCCGCCCTTCACTACCCAAAGGAGTCTCAGAGTGGCTTACAAACTCATCTCCCTTCCCCTCCCCACAACAGACACCCTGTGAAGTAGGTGGGGCTGAGAGAGCTCTTTCAAGGACTGCTCCTGAGAGAACTGCTCTGACGGAACTGTGGCTTGCCCAAGGTCATCCAGCAGCTGCGAGTGGAGGAGTGGGGAATCAAACCCGGTTCTCCCAGATTAGAGTCTGCACACTTAACCACTACACCAAACTGGCTCTCAGAGAGCGGTGAATTTCTGCATGTCACTTTACATGCAGCTGGCTAGCAAAAATTCTCAAAACTCAAAAAAAGAAAGCCTGGAACAGATTCTCTGATCTGTCGTATGAAAGGTCCTGCCGGAATCTGTACACTAGCTTTGTTTAGAGTATGTTGTTTTATTTAAAAGTGCAGTTACTGAATGTAACTATTGAAATCCTACATGGAATACTATAGTAAGACATTCTGAAAAGTTAAGATCCTGTTCTTAAAATTTTACGATTGTATTAGTTGTATGCACTTTTTAAATAAAAAATTATTCAGAAAGAATGAAATGTCCTGCCAGATTAAACCAGTGGTCCATCTACTCTAGCACCCCATCTCACGCAACTGCCGACCAATTACGGAGTTTCAGCAAGAGGGCATAAAGGCCGAGCCATCCAAATCATTTATAAAGAAGTTGAACAACACATGTCTCAGGACAGATCCCTGAGGCACTCCACTTGTCACTCCTCTCCAAGAGGACGAGGAATCATTAGCAAGCACACTTTGGGTGTGATCTGTCATCCTGTTACAGATCCACCTGACAGTACTAGGATACAAACCACATTTTACCAACTTGTCAACAAGAATAGTATGTGAAATCTTATCAAAAGCCATACGCTGCTCTGAGACACCTTTGGGTAGTGAAGGGGGGGGGGATAAATCCAATCTCTTCTTCCAAACTGGCTACACCAAAATAAACATAGAGGCGGAAGCCTTCCCCTGATAAGAACACAAGACAGGCCCTGCAAGATCAGACCAGGGGTCCATCTAGTCCAGCATCCTGTCTCACACAGCAGCCAGTCAGTCCCCCTGGAGGGCCAACGACAAGGCACAGAGGCCGAGGCCTTCCCCTGATGTTGCCTCCTGGCTCTGGGATTCAGAGTGTTTTAGCGCCTCTGAATGGGGAGGTTCCCCTCAGCCACCATGGCTAGTTGTTAAGTTGGTTACTTAACAAAGAGTCAGAGAGTGATTTCAGCAAAAGATCAGCTTTATTCAGCAACTCGTAACTCAACTCCAAACAGATCAACATGAATAGCCAGAACAGCTTTTACATTGAAGCTGTTCTACTTTTAAACTCTCCCGGCTAATGTAGCCACGCCCTATTATACAATATCAACCTATGAGGTTGCAGGGATAAGGTCCAATCACATTAGTTCCCGCTCTTGGAACTGGCTGTTGGCGATTGGTCGGTTCTTCCTGGGCTACCAATTACAAGTGAGGGATTAGGATCCTAGCCCAGGATGAAAGCTTCACATGGTGTTTCAGTGACAGAGTTCACATACATACTTTGGTCAGATTGAATACACCACACTAGTAGCCGCTGATAGATTTATCCTCCATGAATCTACCTAATCCCCTTTGAAAGCTGTTTGTTCCTGTGGCCACCGCTACATCCTCTGGCAGCGAATCCCACATTTTAATCACTCTCCGGCTAAAGCCGTATTTCCTTTTGTCCGTCCTGAACCTACTGCCCAACCCACAGCGGACAACCCTATACATTTCGTCTGCCAACTTCTGGGAAAGAACGAGGTTTATGGGCTGCCGGGGACGCCTCGTGGGCCTTGGATCCGCAGCCCCAAATGAGCCGCGGCTCAGCTACTCACCCGTGTTGATCACGGTTTCTGGCTCCGCCCCCGGCTCTAGGCTGGCCCGGCTGATGGTTCTCCCCGCGACGTCCGTCCAGTACAGCATTTTCTCCCGGCAGTCAAAGTCAATCCCGACCACAATCGAACCCTAGAGAGAGACCCCGGGGCGTTACCAAACATGCAGAGGAGGGTCTCGTTTCCCCTCATCCTGCAAATGGCTCCCGGTTAAACGCAGAGGTCATTTCCTGCAGGAGCGCACAGGAGCGGAGCTCCGGCAGGAAAGAGCCCAGGGGGCGGGCACATGCAACAAGCCCCGCCCCCTGCTCCCAGCAGCCCTCAGTCAGAGGAAGAAGCAGCCAGGTAAGTTGCAGAGCCCCCCCCCCGGCCCAAAACAGTCCAGTGGCACCTTTAAGACTGAGTTTTATTCAGGTACAAGCTCTCCCTCCTCTGTGAGGACAGATCTGCATGTTCTCCCCCCCCCACAATAGCTAGCAATCCAAAACAGTCCAGTGGAGCCTGAGCAGTGGGTGTTGCCTTCTGACACACTTCCGGTGAAGTCAGGGGGTGTGGCATATGCAAATAAGTTGTGCTAATGAGTTATGCTAATGAGCTCCTGCACCTCTTTTTCTACGAAATGACCCCCTGGTTAAATGTAAGAAGAATCATTTGCCTTGGAAACACAGAAGCTTTCCGCAGTCTCCCCGATCCTCCACATTTCCCGGGTAAGGGGAAAATGCTGTTCAAACCAATTACAAAGATGATCTGATTCCTTCGGGACCGCCTGTCCTGGTGCGTCCCCCCACCCACCCAGAGAGTTACGCTTGAGGGCTCAAAATCTGCTGGTGGCCCCTGGCCCAAAGAGCATCTGGCTGTCCTCAAACAGGGCCTTTTTGGTACTGGCTCCAGCCTATGGAACACTTCCAGGTGAGATCAGGGCCCTGCGGAATCTGGTACAATTCCGCAGGGCCGGCAAAACAGAGTTGTTCCACCGGGCCTGTGGTTGAGGGCCGTTCCGGGCCCCTAGCCGATAGGCTACCGCTGGTGTTGGCCTCCCCCACTTCCTCTCTCTCTCTCTTGCTTTCCTACTTCGGGTGTCTGTATGTTGCCCCTCTGAGTTTTACGCCATCTTATAGTCCTTGTTCTATTGATGTTATTGTATTTGTTGACTCTGATTAATTGCATGGTGTATTTTAGGAGGTTTTAAATAGTATATCTATAAATTGTTGTCGCTGGCTCTGAGCCATTTTCAGGGAGGGTGGGTAATAAATTAAAAAAAAACAAGAGAAAGGAATTTTACTGACAGAGAAGCACATTTGACATATATTTATGGGGGAGGAGGAGGAAGAGATTGGATTTATAACCCGCCCTTCACCACCCAAAGGTGTCTCAGAGCGGCTTACAAACTCCTTCCCCTCCCCCTCCCCACAACAGACACCCTGGGAGGCAGGCGGGGCTGAGAGAGCTCTCTCGAGGACTGCCCTTGAGAGAACAGCTCTGTGAGAACTTGTGACTGACCCAAGGTCACCCCAGCAGCTGCATGTGGAGGAGTCGGGACTCAAACCCGGTTCTCCCAGACTAAAGTCCACGCTCCTAACCACTACACCAAATTGGGACATTTAACTTCTTGTGAACAGATTAACTTCACAAAGGTTAACTTGCTACAGCTCCAACCCCAGGTAAGAGAGAGAAGAAGAGAGAAGAAGAGATTGGATTTATACCTTCACTACCCAAGGGAGTCTCAGAGCGGCTTACAAACTCCTTTTCCCTTCCCCTCCCCACAACAGGCACCCTGTGAGGTGTGTGGGGCTGAGAGAGCTCTGACAGAAACTGCTCTTTTTCAAGGACAGCTCTTGTTAGAACTACGGCCTGCCCAAGGTCATCCAGCAGCTGCGAGTGGAGGAGTGGGGAATCAAACCCGGTTCTCCCAGATTAGAGTTCGCGCACTTAACCACGACACCAAACTGGCTCTGTATAAGATGAAACAGAAGGCAAAAGCAATGGCCAGAGAGGCTCAACATGTAATAACCTGTGAGAGGAGAGTGGGGCCAACTGCCCAGTGTACTCCAGTGAGACAGAATTCTCTCCCCCCTTCCCCACCCCACCCCCCGGATCCTCTTGCATGCAGAGTTACAGATCCACCAGCTCGACCAAGAACCCACCAATCCCAGGCGCTTCCAGAGGGTAATGACACGTTAAAACCGCCTATATCTTACCAGCCAGTGAAATGAAATCAACACTTTTTAACCTGGGCCACGTTTCTGAGCATTGAACCAGGGGCCATGCTAGACAGGTAAGAGGAGGTCCACATTCCAAGCTCTCAGCAACTTTTTAAACGTTCATTTTCAGGTATGAAACAGCCAGAGGCAGGGAGGGAAGCATGCACGGTATACCCGATCGCTTCAGACCTCAGAGGCTAAATCGGGTCGCTACTTGGGTGGGAGACCACCCAGGAAGGCTCTGCAGAGGAACGCAATTGGCAAACCACCTCTGCTTCTCACTGGTCTGGAAAGCCCCTTGCTGGGGTCGCCATAACTTGGAAACTAAACAGGGTTAATACTTGCATGGGAGACCACCAAGGAAGGCTCTGCAGAGAAAGGCAATAATGGCAAACCACCTCTGATTCTCACTTGCCTTGAAAGCCCCTTGCTGGGGTCGCCATAAACTGGAAACTAAACAGGGTCAGTCCTTGGAAGGGAGACCACCCAGGAAGGCTCTGCAGAGGAAGGCAATAATGGCAAACCACCTCTGCTTCTCACTTCCCCAGAAAGCCCCTTTCTGGGGTCGCCATAAGTCTTGCATGGGAGACCACCAAGGAAGGCTCTGCAGAGGAAGGCAATAATGGCACACCACCTCTGCTTCTCACTGGTCTGGAAAGCCCCTTTTATGGTGTCTCCATAACTTGGAAGCGAAGCAGGGTTGGTACCTGGATGGGAGACCACCAAGGAAGTCTCTGCAGAGGAAGGCAATAATGGCAAACCACCTCTGCTTCTCCCTTGCCCTGAAAGCCCCTTGATGGGGTTCCTCTGCAGAGGAAGGCAAGAGCCAAAACCACCTCTGCCTCTGCTGTTGAGATTGGGGTCCTCAAGTACAAAGGTCTTTCCCTGTATTGATACAGGAGGATTTTTAATTGCTTTTTTATTGGAGAAACCAGGGGATGAACCTACAACAGCCTACAGGCAACAGAGGTTGTCCGTCACTGCTTTTCTTCAGGCAAGACCGGGGCTGCATTTGGTGAGCCAGCTTTTGGGAAGGCTGTGCTACATCTCTTTGTTGAACTTAAGCGCCAGTGTGAGTAAGCCAGCACGGTATATTGAGTGTCAGACCTAAGGACCAGAAGACCCAGGTTCGAATCCCGACTCTCCTATGGACTCTGCTGGGCGACCATGGCCCAGTCACGCATTTTAAGCCTAGCCTACCTTGCAGGGCTGTTGAGAGGATAAAGACAGAGGGCGGGGGATCAATGTAAGACGCTTTGGGTCCTTATTGTGGAGAACCGCGGGGTGTAATTGAAGCAGATAACCACATTAAATCAGCTTTTCCAGTTTCTGTCCAGGTCAGCTGTAACAGCGAAGGGGGCACCGTCAAGAAGACGGGGTCGGTGGTGCTATTCAAGGTCAGGAGATTCGGTCATCTGATTTATTTATTTTTAATGCCAGTAGCTGGGTCGAGAGAGGGCTTTCGATCTCCCGCCTTCAGTGCCAAGATGTCCTGGGTCGGTCCTGCAAAGTGCGTCAAAAACGTCCTACCCCTTTCCCGGATCAATTCCTCCTTTATCCTCCCCGGCTACCGCATCCAAGAATGGCAAAGGGAGGGCGCGACCTCCAAACAGCTGCATCTGGGGGGGGGGGACTCTGTTCTCAACGTGTCGTACCCGTTCCCTGCAGAATTTCGGGAGGGTCACATGATGCGTGTGCCTGATTGGATTCTGTGCAAATCCACCCCAAATCCCCAGAGTTATTGGGGTTTTTTTGAGGGGACAGACTGTACATGAAGAAGCGGCGTGGGGAAGGGGGGGGACGACATCTGTCTTCCTCTGAAAACAAATTCCCAGATTTCTTGGACAATTCTTTTGTAGAATCTTTTTTTTTTTTTTTGGCCCGAAGCTTAGAAAAAATTGGGCAAAACTAATTGACGGTTTGAGATGGGAGGAGGTCCTTGGAAGGACATTTGCTTCTGTTTCTGATTTCAAGGCTCGCTACGATCTCGGGAGGAAGGCGGGAGTGTTTCTAACGCAACCTCGGGCACTGCACAACTCTAGCTATTCCCCATGTCCAGGGTCTGAAGCGGAGCTTTTCTCCAGTCATAACAAAACCATATGCAAGCACAGGACGATGCTCGTTTGCCGTGCATGAACATGACCCCTACATGTGTGCAAACCGTACTCGGCCTGGTTCCATCCCCGCAACTGGGAACGTTCGCAACCCTGGGGACAGAGCCTACGCATGCAATCTGTACACATATAGCCACGGCTCAGACAAAGATACATAAGCAAAGCTAGTGGCCTTCAGGCAACCAGGGTCAAGAGCAAGGCTCCCTCTAAGCTGTGGAGTCTTGTGAGGAAAAATTCTACTTTGGGAGCTACTGGCATTAAAGTTGTGAGCAAGCAATTTGGTTACTGCATAAATTAGTCTGCTCTGGAGCCCTCCTTCCTGAGCTGGGACAAAAATTTGTGAGCAGGAGGCTAAAAAACTGTGAGTTAGCTCACACTAACTCAGCTTAGAGGAAACACTGGTCAAGAGCACAGAAACACAGAGCTGGAAGAGACCTCAAGGGTCATCTAGTCCAACCCCCTACACTCTGCAGAAGCATAGCCGAAAGATAGCCCTACATACCTACGACATCCCCAAAAGATGGTCATCCAGACTCCGCTTGATAACGTCCAGCGAAGGAGCCTCCACCACCTCCCGAGGCAGACTGTGCTACTGCTCAACCACTCTTACAGTTAGGAAGTTCCTCCTGATATTTAGCCGGTAACGACTCCCTTGTAATTTCCACCCGTTAGATCTAGTCTTGCAATCCAGAGCAAGAGTGAACAGATCTACTCCATCTTCTACATGGCAGCCCTTCAAATACTTGTTGATTGCAATCATGTCCCCTCTAAGCCTTCTCTTTCCCAGGCTAAACATACTGAACTCTTTCAGCCTTTCCTCATAAGACTTGGATTCCAACCCTCTCACCATCCTGGTCGCCCTCTTCTGCACACGCTCGAGCTTGTCAACATCCTTCCTAAAATGTGGTGCCCAAAACTGGACACGGGACTCCAGGTTTAATTTCAACCCGTCGGTTTTGGTCTGACCTTCTGGGGCTACAGAAAGCAACCCTGCACCATCCTCTACATGACGGCCCTTCAAGTACTTGGAGATGGTTCTCTCATCACCAGTGTTCCCTCTAAGCTGAGTGAGTGTGAGCCAGCTCACCGTTTTTTTTACCCTCCGGCTCACACATTTTGGTCTCGGCTCAGGAAGGGATGGCTCCAGAGCAAACGAACTGATGCAACAGCCAAATCGCTCACACACAACGTCAATGCCAGCAGCTCACAAAGTAGCATTTCAGCTCACACAAGATTCCACAGCTTAGAAGGGAGCATTGCTCATCACCTCTCCGCCGCCGCCTCTCCGGGCTGAACTTACACCCAGCTCCTTCAACCTTTCCTCATCGGACTTGGTCTCCACCCTCCCCAGGCTCCACCCCTCGCTGGGATTCTGCCGCTGTGGAAGGGGAGAGCAGGTGAGTGGCTGGGGGAGTGATGGGGCACAGAGAGCGAGAGAAAAAGTGACGTAGTGGAGGGCAGAAAGAGAGCGGAAGTGACACACACGGGGGAGAGAAAGAGAGCAAGAGAAGGGGCACTAGGAGGGAGAAAGAGGGTGGGACAGGTAGAGGAGAGGGGAGGAAGCAAAGGTGGGGGGAGTCGGCTAGCCACCCCGCGAGTTCCTTGCGGGTCCCCATTTGTAAATAAATAAAATGCAGCAGTCGGAGGATAAAATACAGAAGTGGGAAACCTGGAAGACGTTCCCCCTTGACTCAAAACATGATCCCCCGCCCCCAAGTTTGCGCCCCCCCCATGTAGGAAAATACTTTACATGCAGAGACAGTAGGGTCTTAGCGGCTTCCTTGTTCAGTCTGGTGCCGTTCAGGGGCAAATAGCCGATTTGCTGCCCCTGCGCATAGAGCAGGAACGTCCCGGCAGAGGGAGGAACAACATCTGGCCGCGGAGACGGCCGGACAGTCGGAGGGGCGACGCTCGGCAGGCCTGTAAGTGAAATGAGAGACGAGCATCACACGGAGGCGGTAACTGCAAGCTGCGAACGTAAGCATAGAGGTGAAGAGTCAGCGTGGACTAGGATCTGGGAGACGCGGGTTCGAATCCCCACTGGGGCCATGGAAGCTTGCCGGGTGACCTTGGGCCAGTCACACGCTGTAAGCCTAACCTACCTCACAGGGTTGTTGTGAGGATAAAAAGGAAGAGAGAAGAATGGAGTAAGCTGCTTTGGGTCCCCATCTGGGGAAAGGAGGAGGAAGAGGAGGGGAAGGAGATTGGATTTACACCCCACCCTTCACTCGGGGTGGCTTACAGTCTCCTTTCCCTTCCCCTCCCCACAACAGACACCCTGTGAGCAATGCTCCCTCTAAGCTGTGGAATCTTGTGAGCAAAAATTCAACTTTGTGAGCAACTGGCATTAAAGTTGTGAGCGAGTGACTTGGCTACTGCATAAATGTTTGCTTTGGAGCCGTCCTCCCTGAGCCGAGACAAAAACGTGTGAGCCGGAAGTTAAAAAACTGTGAGCTAGCTCACACTAACTCAGTGTAGAGGGAACACTGCATGTGAGGCGGGTGGGGCTGAGAGAGCTCTCTTGAGAACTGCCCTTGAGAGAACAGCTCGGAGAGAGCTTGTGACTGACCCAAAGTCACACCAGCTAGCTGCAAGTGGAGGAGTGGGGAATCCAACCCGGTTCTCCCAGATCAGAGTCCACACTCTTAACCACTATGCCAAATGGCGTGAATAAATTTTTTAAAAGAGAGCTCTTTCATCTGGAGATGGTGGGGCTTGAACCCGGACCTTCTCCACGCAAAGCGTGGGCTCTGCTGCTGAGCCGGGGTCCACCCCCCTGCAAAGCCCATATCAAGCAGCTTCTGTCCTTGACTAATGCCCCCCCCTCCTTTGCCCACTTTTCACTGTCGCTTTCTTACATGGTGGCGGGACGCCGGGCTCAGATCTTGTGCCTTGAACCTCGTGGCCCTTCTGGTCCACGCACCAGCAGTAGCCGCTGTTCCCGTGGCACTGAAGTGGGCTAAAGTTGCCCAGAGCGTCACACTGGGGCACGTATTGGTCGTCGCGGGGGCTGCCGCCGTAGTGCTCCAGAAGGCTTTGCCGCCAGCGTTCGCACATGGTCTGAGGCCTTTGCGTGGGCTCTGGGCAAAAGCAATGGACAAAGAGAGACGCTGTCAGGTGAGTTTCACATTTCAAAACTGAATCTGAAAATAGGGACATAAGAACATCAGAAGAGCCCTGCTGGATCAGACCAGGGGTCCACCTAGTCCAGCATCCTGCCTCACACAGTGGCCAACCAGTTCCTCTGGAGGTCCAACAACAGGGCATAGAGGCCGAGGCCTTCATGAGAACACCAGAAGAGCCCTGCTGGATCAGACCAGGGGTCCACCTAGTCCAGCATCCTGTCGCACACAGTGGCCAACCAGTTCCTCTGGAGGTCCAACAACACGGCAGAGAGGCTGAGGTCTTCCCTTGATAAGAACATCAGAAGAGCCCTCCTGGATCAGACCAGGGGTCCATCTAGTTCAGAATCCTGCCTCACACAGTGGCCAACCAGTTCCTCTGGAGAGCCAACAGCAGGGCAGATAGGCCAAGGCCTTCATAAGAGCATCAGAAGAGCCCTGCTGGATCAGACCAGTGGTCCATCTCGTCCAGTATCCTGTCTCACACAGTGGCCAACCAGTTCCTCTGGAGGGCCAACAAGAGGACAGAGAGGTCGAGGACTTCATAAGAACATCAGAAGAGCCCTGCTGGATCAGACCAGTGGTCCATCTCGTCCAGTATCCTGTCTCACACAGTGGCCAACCAGTTCCTCTGGAGGGCCAACAAGAGGACAGAGAGGTGTTATTACAACACTTGGAACAAAAACCTCCCCAGGACTCAACAGGGATATTGGTTTCTTATCTCATTACATATGCTAACTCATTCAGTCTTCACATATGTATTCTCAAAAAGGACTATACATCCTCTGTATTTTAGTGTATTCCTTTTTCAGAACAGTTTTTTAGAATACTGGATGTAGTGCAAGGAATATTGGGATGTTTTGCTGCATCCGTCTCAAAAAAGAGGAAAAAATGCTGTTAAGTGACCTCCACACCTGAGAGGAGAGAATGGAGAGTATCAGTTTAATTCCCACAATTAGAAAAGATACCTTTACACATCTATCTGCTATTTTGACATATTTATTGCTTTACACCTGTTGACCTTACAACCTTAGCTTGTTATTTGGTTTTGTCTTTGCACATCTTCATCATGTTGCATGTTAATTTCCTGTTCAGCCCCCTTCTATAAGTTTGAACCTCACCTGCCATTCCAATGTATTTGAAAAAGAGTGCATGCCCATGAAAGCTCATACCTTGAAAGAATCTTAAAGGTGCCATGGACTCTAAATTTATTCTACCGGTACTAACAAACAGGAAGTTGCTTAAATGTTATCAATATTATATCCGAATTTTACTGTCTCAAGGCATCTTACAAATCATACTGAAAGGCATAATAGGGGTGGCAAAAAAAAAATCTATTTTTCCTACTCCATTATAGCCTACGGGGACCATTATAGTCAATGGGCCCCATAAGCTATAATGGAGAATTGATCTGGGGGGATCTGTGGCTCCGGGGGGAGCTGTTTTTTGAGGTTGCGGCACCAAATTTTCAGCATAGCTGCTGGTGCCTCTCCTCAAAAAAGCCACCCGTCCAATGAAGGGGAAAATGCTCCCGAGCTGGAAGCTAAATCGTCTGAGCAGCTAGCTAAAATGCTGTGCACCATCGCCCCCTAGCACAGCTCAGAGGGAACTAGCACTGCTCAGGAGACAAAGTTCCCTTCATCTTGTACCTGACCAAGGGAGCTTTGACTGTGGAAAGCTCATACCCCCAAAATCTTTTTTTTAAGTACCCGAGGGTACACTTTTATTATTTTTTTTCCATTATATACTACAAACATACATACAAACAACACCCAACTACCCCCAACAACATATAACATGTAACAAGAGACTTTTATCCCACCTTCTGCTTATTAATTTTCTACGTTCATTATCTATTTTACTAAGCTTATCTTTTCTGCGCTCTCAAATTACTACATTTATCCATCAGTTACGTAGACTCTCTTCCAAGTTTTTTGAAAAGTCCATTCTGTGCTGGCTCTCATCTCAGGTGTCAGCTTGTCATTTTCCGCCGTTTCAAATATTTTGTTCACGTACTCTTGTTTCGTTGGTATTTCCATTATTTTCCAACTAGGGAGCAAAGCCCATTGTGGACGGAGACAATGGGCCCCTAGACAGGTAGGGTGGGTGAGTGGGTGGGTGGGGAAAGAAAGGAAGAGGGACAGAGAGGAAGGAAGAAGGGGGGGCAGGAGGGGCCACAGAAGATCTTCCCGTCCATCCGGCTTCCCAGGTGGGAGAGAGAAGCGGCGCGGGTGGGGGAGGCGTAAGAAAGCCTCCTCCGTCTGTCCGGCTTCCCGGGTGGATTGGCGAAGTCGGGGGGTGGGGGAGGGAAATCCGGCCGCGGCGTGGGGTGCATTGCCAGCGCGCCCTCAGACACAGGGCTCGCCTCCCAGCCCATGGCTGGGCAGTAGCCTTGAGCGGCAGCTGGGCAACATGGCCAATGGAAGGTGGGGAAGCTCCTGACAGACAGCGCAAGCTTCCAAAGACCGTTTGGTGAGCAGTTTCTGTCCGCTGCATGAAGCTGCGTCTGAGGAGGGACGTAGGCGACATGGCCAATGGAAGCCGGGGAAGCTTTTGACGGACAGTTCAGCCGTCGAAACACTGTTGGTGTGCATTTTCTCTCCTCTGCGTGACTCTGCGTCTTATTCAATTATATATAAGGGAGAGATATTTGCCATATACAATCCTTGCAGCTGTCGACAAATGAACTATCAAATACCTATCTGCTATACCCCCAAAATCTTGTTGGTCCCAAAAGTGCCATGGGACTCAAATGTAAGTCGAACATAAATTATGTAGAACAATGACAATGCAGAACGAATTCTTCAAAGTCGGAGAATTCAGAATTCGAACTCACGTGGAGAGTGGGGGAAGAACTGGAGCAGGCATCGAAACCCAGAAACGCATCTGGAGCTAGCTCAGCTCTGGTGACCTCACCATCCATGACCCCACATGGGGTCCCGTCGCACTTTAGGGGTCCCAGTGTCCCCCACAGGTGGGCACCAACCTGCCTTCACCGTGAGTCTTGAGAGAAATGCGGAATAGAAGGATGCAGACGGCTAACCTGGAGCCCCGCAAGGTGGCGGGGAGGCGCCCGGTGGTCTCCGGCTGCCAGCGACTTCTCGGCCATCTCCGTCGACGCACCAGCACTCCCCGGTGCTACCGTGGCACTGCAGTGGCCTGTAGTTCCCCTGGCTGTCGCACTGAGGCACGTGGGGGCCTCCAGGAATGGGGGAGCCTTGCTGGTTGGCGTAGAGTCTCTCGTGTTCACAGCGGGTCAGTCTCTGCGTGGTCACTGCCGGCCGGGCGGTGTCCCCCAGAACAAGGAGAGATGCTGTTAGACTGATGACTTCACAGCAGGACTTTAAGAAACTGTGAATGCAGGGGGGCTCCTAGGGGTGGGGCTGTGGCTCAGAGGCAGAGCCTCTGCTTGGCATGCAGAAGGTCCCAGGTTCAATCCCCGGCATCTCCAGTAGGAAGGACCAGGTAGCAGATGATGGGAAAGACCTCTGCCTGAGACCCTGGAGAGCTGTAAAGAGGGGCTGTGGCTGAATGGCAGAGCCTCTGCTTGGCAGGCAGAAGGTCCCAGGTTCAGTCCCCGGCATCTCCAGTAGGAAGGACCAGGCAGGTGATGGGAAAGATCTCTGCCTGAGACCCTGGAGAGCTGTAAAGAGGGGCTGTGGCTCAGTGGCAGAGCCTCTGCTTGGCATGCAGGAGGTCCCAGGTTCAGTCCCCGGCATCTCCAGTAGGAAGGACCAGGCAGGTGATGGGAAAGATCTCTGCCTGAGACCCTGGAGAGCTGTAAAGAGGGGCTGTGGCTCAGTGGCAGAGCCTCTGCTTGGCATGCAGGAGGTCCCAGGTTCAATCCCCGGCATCTCCAGTTAAAAGGACCAGGCAGGAGGTGATGGGAAAGACCTCCGCCTGAGACCCTGGAGAGCGGCTGCCAGTCTGAGTAGACAAGACTGACCTTGAGAGGGGGTCTGATTCAGTAAAAGGTGGCTTCATGTATTCACTAGCTTCGGGATGGGCTGTGGCTCAGCGGTAGAGCACCGGTTTGGCATGCAGAAGGTCCCAGGTTCAGTCCCCAGCAGCATCTCCAGTTAAAAGGACCAGGCAGGAGGTGATGGGAAAGACCTCCGCCTGAGACCCTGGAGAGCGGCTGCCAGTCTGAGCAGACAATGCTGACCCTGATGGACCAAGGGTCTGATTCAGTAGAAGGCCGCTTTGTGTGCTCATGGCTCCAAGCTGCTTGCGCCTGCCCCATACGAGGCTTGGGTAGCGGCTTCTAACGGCGGCCTCCGGCCCCCTCTTACGGGACTTTACCCTTGCTTACCCTTGCCCCAATGGGAAGGTGGCACTGATTCCGCAGACCCATCCTAGACTTTTGCCCAGGGCTCCGGAATCATTAAGCATGCCTGCCGCCGTGAGAACCCCCAATCCCGAAGCCCTACCTGGCGAGCACCGGAAGCCATCCCCTTCGTAGCCGTCCCGGCAGCGGCAGGAGAAGGAGCCGGGAGAATTGAAGCAGTCGGCCGCCGGGTGGCACCTCCCTTCCGCGCACTCGTCCACGTCTGCAAAGAGAGGAGGGAAATCCGGAGCATCCAAGGGACAGCAGAATCGATCAATCGATCGACCGACCTTTATTGGCATAACATAGATCCAGCAGGGCTCTCCTGATGTTCTTACGCATGCATTCTTCTTGCTGCTTCCTTGATCTAGACCTACCCGCACCCCCACCCACTGTTCGGTGCCCTGACAGAGACTGAGAGATGCCTGTTCCCTTACTGGGTTTTAAAGCAATCGGAAGGGTGTTGAATTTTCAAGTCCGAGACCTACAGACCTAAACCAGGGTTCCCTCTAAGCTGAGTCGGTGTGAGCCGGGCTCGCAGTTTTTTAGCCTCCAGCTCACACATTTTTTTTTGTCTTTGTAGTAGAGATGGTCTGTAAAGGGGACGATCTCTTCCTGCTTCTCTGACTTGGCATAACATACAGAAGAGACAGCAGAAGGCTCAGCGGCAGCGTTCCCTCTAAGCTGAGTCCGTGTGAGCCAGCACACAGGGGGTTTTTTTAGCCTCCGGCTCACGCATTTTTGTCCTGGTCCGGGAAGGAGGGCCCAACTAATCGATGCAGCAGCCAAATCGCTCGCTCACAACTTTAACGCCCGTAGCTCACAAAGCAGGATTTTTGCTCACAGGACTCCACAGCTTAGAGGGAGTGTTGCTCAGCGGCACGGTTGGATCTCTCCACGTCTCGCGATTTGCTTTTGCAAATGCAGCCGCTGGGGTTCCTTTATCCAAGGAGGAGAATGGCATGTGCTTAGTTCTCGTGTCCCTTTCTTACACGCTCAGGGAAACGCTGATCACCACTTTGGGGCCAGGAAGCAAATTAGGCCAGTATTGCCGGGGATCCTGGAGGGGTTTTTGCCATCTTCTGGGCACGGAACAGGAGTCACTGCAAGTGTGTGTGGTGGGGGAGGTATCTGTGAATTTCCTGCACTGTGCAGGGGGTTGGACTAGATGACCCTGGAGCACTGTTCCCTCTAAGCTGAGTTAGTGTGAGCTAGCTCACAGTTTTTTAGCCTCCAGCGCACACATTTCTGTCTCAGCTCAGGGAGGATGGGGCTCCAGAGCAAACTGATTGATGCAGTAGCCCGATCGCTCGCTCACAATTTTAATGCCAGTAGATCATGAAGTAGAACTTTTGCTCACAGGACTCCACAGCTTAGAAGGAGCATTGTAACAGCATAAAAGAAGCCGTGTCGGATCGGGTGGACTCTAATCTGGGAGAACCGGCTTTGATTCCCCCACTCCTCCTCCACGTGAAGCCTGCTGGGTGACCTTGGGTCAGTCACAAGTTCTCTCAGTACTCTCTCAGCCCCACCTACCTCACGGGGTGTATGTTGTGGGGAGGGGAGGGGAAGGGAAAGGAGCTTGTAAGCTGCTCTGAGACTCCTTTGGGTCGTGAAGGGCAGGATATCAAAAAAACAACTCTTCTTCTTCTCCTCCTCCCCGTTACACCGGACTGTATGAGGTCCACTGAAGGCTCACACTGTGGTCTGTGGCGGGCCCTTCCACGTATCTGCATTTATTTATTTACTATTTACTTTCTTTACATCCAGCCTTTCTCCCCAATGGGAACCCGAGGCTGCTGAGATCCTCATCCTCATCTCCAGCTTACCCTTACAACAACCCTCTGAGGTAGGCTGAGCTAGGAGTGCGTGACTGGCCCAAGGTCCCCCAGCAAAGCTCCCACGGCAGAGCAGGGATTCGAACCTGGGTCTCCCGGACCCTAGTCCGACCCTTTAACCACTACACCGTGCTGGCTCTTATTTATTCAAATCCCTACTTTTCTCCCCAGTCGGGATGCAAAGTGGATCAGAACACCATTCTCCTCTCCTCCCTTTTCTCCCAACAACAGCCCGGTGAGGAAGGCTGGCCCGAGAGGCTGCGACGGGCCGAAGGTCACCCATGGCAGAATTGGAGACTCGAATCCAGGTCATTCAGGAGCCTAGTCTGCCCCTCTGTCCCGTATACCACACCGGCTTCCACACAGAGAAGAAGAGGAGATTGGATTTAGACCCTGCCCTTCGCTCGGAGTCTCAGAGCGGCTTACAAACTCCTTTCCCTTCCCCTCCCCCCCAGACACCCTGTGATGCAGAAGGGGCTGCCCTTGAGAGAACAGCTCTGAAAGAACTTGTGACTGACCCAAGGTCACACCAGCAGCTGCATGTGGAGGAGTGGAGAATCAGACCTGGTTCTCCCAGATTAGAGTCCACGCACTTAACCACTACATCAAACTGGCTCTTGTTCAGTACTAGGAAATCCCTCTCCTCTGGTGCATAAAGGGGATTATTCCATTTGTAACTGCAGGGAGAGCCGTAGAAACATCAGGTGGGCGGGGGAAGCTCAGAAAACATTGAGGACCAAAAGTTAAAAACAGAAGTGTACGAAAGATTGTTTATTACAAATCCATCGAAAAACCTAGTAGGGGCCCAAATAAAGCCTCATAAAATAGAATTGCACTCTTGAGACCTAAACGGGAAGGCATTTTTCTCTTTTTTAAATTTCTCATATTTTTCTTTAATAGATTTTAGTATTGGTTGTATTTTGGAATTTATCCTTATTTCCAGGCACATATTATTCCCAGTATCTATATATCTAATAGCCAACTTGCCCCCTCCGTGCGGATCGCTAAATCAGCACGGAGGGAGCAGGGGGGGGAGGGGAAGGTTTGTGCACACGTGGGCCAGTCCCCACGTGTGCACAAAAATGCAAAAAGTTAAAAAAAAATTCGGGGGGATGTTTAAATCCCCCCGAAAGTGCAAGAGCGTCTCCTGCGCATGCGCAGGAGACGCTCTGCAACGCCGCCGCCGCCTCGGAGCCAGCCGGCGAGCTGGCGAGCGACGGGGGGGAGGAAGCCGGGCCT